AGTCTCTTGTGAAGAACTTTATCGAACGCTTTGCTGAAGTCTATGAAGACGACTTCAGTGGGTCTTCTGTTGTTCCTTGATTTAACCCAGGTTTCTCTTGCAGTAAGGAGATTTGACAGGTTTCTTCGGAAGCCCTGCTGTGCTCTGGATAACAAATTGTTGTTTTCCAGATATGCCATGATACTTTTCTCGATGATTCTTTCCAGTGTTTTGATTGAAATGCTGGTGAGTCTAATAGGCCTGTAGTTTGAAGGGCATTGTCTTGATCCTCCTTTGTGGAAAGGGTATGCTATAGAGTCCTTTCAGTCACGCGGTAACACTCCATTTAGAAGAGATAGCTTGAAGATTGTGGGCAGTGGGCCGACTGTGTGAGCTGACAGCTCCTTGCGAAGCCTTGTATGCAGATTGTCAGGACCTATTGATTTCCCTGCATCTAGTTTCACGTCAATGGAGTGTACGCTGTGTTCTTCTGATCCAGCCAGAGCTGATCCTGTGGGGAATGGCGACTCCTGTGTAAAGACTTTGGAGAAGTTGTCTGCCACTGCCTCTGACATTTCTTGGTCTTCTTCCATTGTACCTTACTTCTGAATTTCACATACAAGAAAGGTTTCTTAGGTTGTGCCGTTGCATTTTGAGCCAGATGTGCTTCGAACTTCATCCTTGATTGGCGGATTTCTGCAATAGCTTTATTCCTAGTGTTGTTGCATAATTTTCTCAGGAGTCTTCATTGTGGTAAACAGGTTCTAGCATTTGTGTTTACTTCTGGTTAATCTACGGGTCTCTCAGTTCATCCAGGGGTGAGCAATATTTCCGACCCATTGGGACAGACCAAGGGATGGAAGGTTCAGTTACTTGGGCGTAAAGTTATTTAAAGTGGTTCCAAGCGGCTTCTACTTAAGACTCTGGGTTTATGTACCAGTCAACTGAGTTTGCTGCTGAGACGATCGCATTTATATCAGCCTACCAAACGTTTCGTTTAGTTAGGGTTTGGCCCATGATCTGCTGCTGTGGACTGAAGATGAAGTTTCAAGGTTTGTCCAGTCAAGATGCTATCCCATGGGCCATACACAAGTTCGCCAGACATCCTACAGGTCACCGTATTCAACAGGTTCTAATCCTTCTATCCACTTCTCTCTGAAATGTCACTTATATGCTTCATGACAATCCTTCTACCTAATTACTATTATACTCTATTTTATCTCAACTTCCTAGGATCTTAATAAAGCTGAAATTTATTTTTTCCTTCTTCCCATTACACCCTTTTCTCGCGTAAAGTTCGGTTTCTCTGATGATAAAAAACAAAAAAAGACAACACTCATGTTTGAGAGTAACTTTATTTTCATAGAAAACGTCATAGTTTTCCATGGTAAGACCAATATGGTTAGCATCATACATTGCAAATGTGTATTATCATTTCAAGTACTACATAGCTTCTTGTATTTATCTTGTAAATATACTTTTAATAATGTATTACTGATAATTGCATTCTTTACCATTTTGCAGCTGCTCCAGATTTTCTTCAGTTCCTAAAATAGCGTTCAAGCATGTGAAGGCATAGCACTCACCCAAATATATGTTGTTTATCGATTAGCCATAACTATCATCAGGAAATGGAACGAATTTCGGGTTGTCGCTCAACTTCGGTGGTGACCTTCGTAAAATATTTACAAATTAACATTTATAAGAATCTGTTCCGATTGCTTGTACTATAATTCAACAATATGAACTTTTTTGAAAAAGTGATAATGTATGCTAATTCACAATTGTAATTCGTAACATAATTGATCGTGCCTGTAAAAATGGCATGCATTTCATGTAAACTTACCCGTTTATACGAAATATATATAATCATTATATTATTGTTTTAACTGTTGGGACGTTGAATTCGCCGACTACGAGACTTCGACGTTTTGATGTCCAGGAGCCTAGCTTCTCTATTAGGAAGTTGTCTGCCCTGCAGTCAGGACTTTCATATGGCAATAAAGTCAATGTCTTGGCCTGTGCACGTAACCCTGGAGCATAAAAGTTCGCACGATTCACTTTCCTGGGCGAGTGCTTCTGTGCTACACACGAATGAGCACTTCGTGAGGTAGATGGCTAAGCCACCTCCTTTGCGGCTTCGCAAGTCCACCCTATGCACTTCGAAGTTTGGCAGGTTAGCTTTGTTATCAGTGACATAGGGTGTGGGGTATGTCTCTGTGACGATAATTACAACCGGATTCCTTGTATCTGTCATATTGCCCGGCTCGGTCCGTTTGTTTGTCAGGCTGCTGGTATTTCCGTGGCAAACTGTCAATTCGGTATGGTGATTCCGCGGCCTACCCACAGGGGTTTGGCGACTGTCAAATTTCGAACTTTGACAACCTGAAAACCCTTAATCTTGAGGATTGCCTCAACGTTTCGGTGCCATTCGCCAATTCTAGAGCCACAGATTGTCTTTGGACGCATTCTGCTGAAATAAGTCGGCCGTTCAAAGTTTGAGAGTTGCTTAGAATGGCCCATGGGATAGCATCTTGACTGGACAAACCTTGAAACTTCATCTTCAGACATCTTTGATTGCAAACCACTGGAACCTAGCATTTCGCTAGCCCTAGTCCAACATGTAATGAAGCGAATGCTCTGTGACTCACAGCACGCCTCTTCAACCCTGGACATGGTGGGGATTTGGACCTTATACAATATCCTCCTTCGCTAGGAAGACGTGATCTCGCTGTGCTCACTATCAAGTCCACAGCGGCAGATCATGGGCCAAACCCTAACTAAACGAAACGTTTGGTAGGCTGATATAAATGCGATCGTCTCAGCAGCAAACTCAGTTGACTGGTACATAAACCCAGAGTCTTAAGTAGAAGCCGCTTGGAACCACTTTAAATAACTTTACGCCCAAGTAACTGAACCTTCCATCCCTTGGTCTGTCCCAATGGGTCGGAAATATTGCTCACCCCTGGATTAACTGAGAGACCCGTAGATTAACCAGAAGTAAACACAAATGCTAGAACCTGTTTACCACAATGAAGACTCCTGAGAAAATTATGCAACAACACTAGGAATAAAGCTATTGCAGAAATCCGCCAATCAAGGATGAAGTTCGAAGCACATCTGGCTCAAAATGCAACGGCACAACCTAAGAAACCTTTCTTGTATGTGAAATTCAGAAGTAAGGTACAATGGAAGAAGACCAAGAAATGTCAGAGGCAGTGGCAGACAACTTCTCCAAAGTCTTTACACAGGAGTCGCCATTCCCCACAGGATCAGCTCTGGCTGGATCAGAAGAACACAGCGTACACTCCATTGACGTGAAACTAGATGCAGGGAAATCAATAGGTCCTGACAATCTGCATACAAGGCTTCGCAAGGAGCTGTCAGCTCACACAGTCGGCCCACTGCCCACAATCTTCAAGCTATCTCTTCTAAATGGAGTGTTACCGCGTGACTGAAAGGACTCTATAGCATACCCTTTCCACAAAGGAGGATCAAGACAATGCCCTTCAAACTACAGGCCTATTAGACTCACCAGCATTTCAATCAAAACACTGGAAAGAATCATCGAGAAAAGTATCATGGCATATCTGGAAAACAACAATTTGTTATCCAGAGCACAGCAGGGCTTCCGAAGAAACCTGTCAAATCTCCTTACTGCAAGAGAAACCTGGGTTAAATCAAGGAACAACAGAAGACCCACTGAAGTCGTCTTCATAGACTTCAGCAAAGCGTTCGATAAAGTTCTTCACAAGAGACTACTCACGAATTTGTGAAGTCTTGGTACCAAAGGCAGCTCATTAAACTGGATTAAGGAATTCCTCATAGGTAGGAGGCAGAAGGTTAGGATCTTGGCTAGCAGTGCGTAGCAGAGTGCTACAAGGCACGATACTCAGACCTCTTCTGTTTATCTTGCATACCATTCTGTTATCTCTGTTCATTGATTCCCGTATGGTCCTATGTGCAGATGACTTAGAAATTTAAAAGAGAGCTGAAGGACAACAGCAATATATCCACGTTGCAAGAGGACCTCAACAAATTGTCAGAGTGGCCCAGAGAATGGATGCTCCCAATCGATGTAGCGAAATGTTCAACCATGCGCATCGGACACGCAAGCATCAGCTCCTACGAACTAGAGGGACTAAAACTCCCATCAGTTCAGACTCATTTTGATTTAGGTGTCAAAGCAAGTCACGACATGAAAACTACAGCACACTCACGCGGTGGTTGCGTGTAGTTTCAGATCCTTGTGACAAATTCGCAGAGCCTTTACTTGTATCACCAGAGATATGTTCACCCCCCTATATCCATATCTGGTAAGGTCAAGGCTGGAGGACTTTATCCAGACAGCCATTTCTTCTCATAAAGGGGACTCACATATTCTAGAAGGAGTCTAAAGGAAGGCAACACGTATAATTCTCAACACGACTGACTTATCATACGAGGAAAGACTAGACATTTCGAATCCCTTCTCCCTGTCATTCCGTAGTTAGAGAGGAGATTTAATTACAATGTTTACAATTTTAAATACTGACCTTGGACCCGACCTATTCTCTCTTTTCCTTACCACCAGGTCGGGACATCTTAGAGGACATAGCAGGAGAGCTGAAAAGCCAAGGAGAAGTCATATTGCTGCCGAGTACTGGTTCTCAAACCGAGACATTATTTCTTGGAACCTACTCCCAGGAGAAGTGGTGTCTGCAACCTTAGCTGATTACTTGAAAAAAGGTTCGGAAAAGCACAGAAATTTACTAGAAAAGGATATAAATGGGCTCCAAGCCTTCTATCCTCGACCAATAAATCTGAAATCTGAATACCGACGGAGTGCGCCACACCAGTGACCTTGAATGTGCAAACGAGCTTTGTTCACTTGAGTTGAAACTTCTACTCCGCCTGATTCGAGACTCACTCCTGCTTATCGCAGTTACCTTTGGAATTTGGTGTACATCAAGTTTTCTAATATTTCTTAGATGTGGGGTTGATTAGAAAAGAAAGTAGTTGTTCATGGCCACCATGGTTTGATGTGTATAAAAATTTCCGATACACCGGTTGACTATTGGGTGAATCTTTGTGCAGTTTGTTTGAGACGAGTAATTGTCAGAGAAGGTAAGGTACAGCTGCGCTGAGACAGAAAACAGTCACGAATCAACAGTTGGTGACTAAAAACTATATATAAAAATAGTTCATCCATGCAATGTTGAAGAATGGTTCTGTCTCAGCGCAGGCTGTTATAAACCACTAATTACAAATACACAAAATTTTGGTTAGGGAGAGATGGGTCTTGGCAAGACTGTTCCTACGACATATTAGAATAATCACCTTACCTTCTCTGACACTTACTCAACACAAACAAACTACACTTCTATAGAAGTTTCAACTCAAGTGAACAAAACTCGTTTGTACATTCAAGGTCACTGGTGCGGCACACCGTTGGCATTCACCAGTGCTAATAGGTTGACTTGGCCCGACTAATGAAATCACTGTTAAAAGAGGGGTTGAGTCGGACAATATTTAGCCCATCTAGTACTGGATTTCAGAAAACTGAGGTTGTGGAGTACCTAACCATATGATTGTACACTTTTTGTTTAGATGTTGAAAGTCGAAACATTGTACATGACTCTTGTTTAAAACGATTTATGTTTAAATACATATAACTTCCGAGTACAATTTGAAATACAATATACCGTTGGTAGATCCACCTTCTCTCTGGCTATTTCTGTCTACTCACCCAACTCAAACCGTGTTGTATACTTTGGATTAATAAAAGGGATCTGTCATCCTTATCTGAAGACAAAATCTACAACCGGAACACAGCTTCTATCAGTAGACGGTTCCAACAGACAACACCTCTATAAATAATTTGTAGCAGTAAACTTTAGCAACAAATTATTTATATAATCTATAGAAGTGTTGTCTGTTGGAATCGTCTGCTGATAGAAGCTGTGTTCCGGTTGTAGATTTTGTCTTCAGATAAGGATGACAGATCCGTTTTATAAATTCAAAGTATTCAACACGGTTTGAGTTGAGTGAGTAGACAGAAATAACCAGAGAGAAGGCGGAGCTACCAACAGTATATTGTACTTTCAACATCTAAACAAAAAGTGTACAGTCATATGGTTAAGTACTCCACAAGGTAATTTTTCTTGTGAATTTTGTATATTTGGAAACTAATTCTAGTCTAGGAGAAAATCGAGCAAGAAAAATCAAAGTAAAGGTCAGCTGAAGCATCTTCGTAACGAACTTTACCGCAAACGTGACGCTAAAATAGTTAGCTGGAAGACGTTTTCAAACAAGAAAGGTATTTTCCGATCTTATGAATCCATAATTATTGACTTTGTATTTTTGAAACCTTATTTCCTATTCCTGCTGATTCTTTGTGTGAATCTTCCCCGAGGTACATTGTAAGTTGCATTGTATGAGTTTACCATAGTATAGTAGTTTGCATTCATAAACTCTGGATGTTGCAAAACCCTTGGGTCTATGAAACTTTCGTGTAGAGTTTTGGTTAGTCAGTATTTCGAGTTAAGCTTCCTAACATTTAATTGCTACGTGAAGTAGCTAGTTCAAAGTGGGGTATTCTAGACCACATTTTCTTTGAGACTACTACGAATAGCCAGTCAGTTGTTTTTGCCATGATCACTAACAAAAGATATGAAGAGGTATGGCTCCTTAGGTGTGGTTATTATTCAATAAGAAGCCTACTTCGGTCTTCTCCGCATCCATTCGAGCAGCATTATCAATATTAAGCTAGTCGTGAGTTCAGCTTGGAAGGTAATATTCGGATGAGACCAATACAACTGACAACACTCGTGGCTGTTTCCTTAATGGAATACATTTGCAAGCCTAATCTTTAGAAATAGTGATGCGAAAGGGTATCAGTGGCGTTGTGCAAAGTAGTTGGTTGAGTCTGAACCACGTTCAAGTGCAGGTTGCCTAGTGTAGAGCATTGAGAATCTGTTGACGGTTTAAAATTCCACATGGTGGTGCATATGTAGTCACGTGTTTTTTCCTCCTAGATCCTAGAGATTTCGCGTATGTTGATGTGTTTTAGTGTCATTACGTATTTGTCTCTATTAATCATTCTTCTTCAAGCGTAGTTACATATTATATTTTTTCTGGATGCTTTCAGTAACTGAAGACTTTTTGGGTATATATGCATAGTTAAGGTCATAAGCGATTGTAGTTTGAACTGGGGATTTCCTTTCTGAGGTGCTTTCTCTTGAAAGCTATCCCAATAATCTTTGTACATGTTTAGTTTGGCGTCATTAGTATAGGATTAGACAGCATATCACGATGCGATGTTGTTGACCAATAAGATGTATTTTGTGAATGAAGTCACATGATATAGCCACCACTGAGTTCACAGTGTCAGTCAGTCATCAGCACTGCATCATCAAAGGAGGTATTAAGCGGTGTACTTAAATTTGACTTCTATTCAGTCATTGGTAGGATTACAACTTAGACCTTATTGATGCGGAACTAGTTTAACAGGCTAGGAATAGTTGTAATTATTTGACACTAGAAACTGGGGAAGTAGTTGTATATTTGCCCATAGTGATAGGAATTGTAGATGTGTATTAATCGATCGTGCTGTGGCGAATTGTATTGAGGTTTTATTAGACACATATATGTATATTGTGTATGAGATGCCCAAGTGAAGAAAGTGAACAACTAAAAGAGTTCAGGAGTAATGCAGTATCATTTTTGTGAACTACATCGTGGCCTGCGCTGTCAATGAGAATCTATGGAATGTCAGGCTCTCTTCTATTTGAGAATATCAAACAGGGTTTGCACTTCAACACAACAATTTATTTGACCCATTGACTCATTAAAAAGCAATTGTGCTTTAAGCTAGAAACTACCTGTCAAGTTCTATACTTCAATTTTATGATTGCGGTATTAAGCGTGGAGCGTGAATATACTAACTGTAAAAGTGTCACATGCCTAAAAACAGTACGATTATTCTGATAATGATTACCAAGAATTGATAGTTGTATACCTGAAAACCTTAAGTCGAAAGAGTAAATGACTGATAGATGGTGAAATAATTTAACTAACTTTCAACGGTAACAGGTTTCACATCCGGACGACCTGCTAGACACATTAGTCAAGTTAGCTCGGCGTTTACTGTAGGACGATATGCACTAAGCGAACTCATAAAAGGAAACTACTTTTAAAGCACCTTAGTTTGGAATCTGACTGTAACAATAGGAATCACACTTCCTTCTGAAAGTATGCACTTCAATAAGTACTCACATGTATGCGTATTGTCTAACCTAGTTCTTTTGTTTCCTTCCTATTTTCTTGTTACTAGATTCTCAACGTGAACCTGATAAATGCAAAAACTTACATCGCAGTAATATTTGCAGGGCAGATGCTGAGCTAACAAAACTTGGAAGACTAATAAACCAGACAAGACGGCAAGTTTTTGGAGCTACAGAAAGTCGGGCTATAGGAAAAAAGGCGAAAAGTGTTCTTTTCAAAAAGCAATACGACGAATTTGATGTTGGTCTAAAATCCCTAATATGCTCATAATTGAATAGTGCGGGAGCGAGTTGAACCGTCTTGCTACTCACTAGCTGCTGCTTATTCTGTCGATTATTTCAGATTGTATAAGGGTCATGGATTTGGTTAAAAGTCTGAAGAAAAGCCCAGATTGTATATAAACTTTTTATTGCTTTTAAATAACGGGTACAAAATAAAGAAGTAAATACACATCCTATGTTTTCCCGCCACGGAATATGACTTTGAACGCTCGTAGTGTGGATAGAAATAAAGCGAAGCCGATTGGAACAAATAAGGGTGTATAGATCCCGTACTTTTGGTCATCCTGCAAAAGCATACAATAAATTAGAACTATCAGATTCATGAGACACATTAGGTTAAATTAGTTCTTATATTGGGATAAATTTAGCTCAGATTACACGAATTCTTAAGACTAGTCATCCTGGGAATAAAGTATCCACTACTGTTTTAGTCAAATAGAATGACGTCTCTACCTGAAGAAGATGGCTGCAACGGTGGTTCAGTGTCAGTTACTGTGAGCAGTACAGCATGCTCTCAATTAACATCGTGTTTAAGTGTTGGTTTGCAGGGAATTGATTTGATTGGCTACAGGATTTGATCATGAGCAGATATCGGTTGCAGGACCATTGGAAAAGCTGGGCAGCTGTCTCGGCGTAGTTTGGGACTTTTCGGCGGCACACACTCGATGGGTTTCGAACCTAGGACCTTGTGGTTGCGAGGTGAGTCCGTATACCAATAGTTCACTATGACACGATCCACTCGCCCATCAATTCCAACTTCTGCTAATTCACGATATAGCGCGACCACTAGCCAATGTCATGGGCGGGTATCCTTCAGCACACTAGACCTGCTGTCACTTCATTCTTTACACAGGCAGACTGCTCTATAGATATGCCAATCAAATCAATATGTTGAAGTAACAATCAGAAATATACACAAGGTACTGCTTACCTCAAAGTACAAAAGACCAAGAAGGCTGTGGTCAAAGAATGCCCCATTCGATGAACTTAAGGCACTATGTGCATGCAAAAATGTATTTCCAAGGGAAGATATGGTCGTATTGCGGGATATTGTTGGTCGGTCTACTTCCTTAGGTTCTTTTAGACTATCAAGTGTGAGTGACCAGTTTGAACATGCACGATCAACTTCGCTGGCGACGTCGTCTCTTATAATCATGTTTGGAAGACGTTGTAGTAGATTAACCAACGATCCAATTGTCCGTTTTGTCTCAGTAATGCATTCAACAGTCCTTCGGAGAAACCAGAAACTGAGCTAAAGAAAAAAAGTATCACTTATACTGTTTACTAGTAATTATTATTTGAGCAATTTCTCTTACAGATTGATAAGCGTCGTTGGTTTGAGGACAACTGTCTATCTCGAAAAATAAGTCAGTATCGAAAACAATTAGTGAAATTATTGAGAAGAGTCTTCAAAAATAAAAAGGGTCTAGTTTAATAATCCAATTGGTTTCAGAGACTTTAACAGTTCGTACATATAAGTAATTATGAGTTTAGGAAATGTGGAGATGCATGTTACATTCATGAGGAGTGACACACAAATGTCTTGATTCATTCAACGCTAGTAACTTCAAAAACAAATCCACTAGTAGAACTGTGCACTTGCATTTGAACGAAAACGAGATGGGGAACAATCAATACACAAATGTTCTCACAATCACCGGAGGTCATACGTGATGTGGCTACTAATGATCACGTTTAGCACTCGTCGTTACATAGATGGTGACAGGGTTCGACTAAGAGAATTGGAAGGCCTTAACGAAAAACCATTGGTGTACGTAGGGTCCGAAAGAAGTGAAGAGGACGTGAACATGGTCTGGTCACTGGCAGTTATGAGGGCACAGTACAGCACCAGAAGTTGGTTTCCAGCCTTGAAAATTTTTTTATATTTTTTTTATTTTGATTTACAGCTTGATTCCACACCGTATTTTCAGTACAAGTGTGGAATTTTCAGCATGGATATCGGTAGCCCAAATTCAGGCCAACCATAGATAACGGGTGTGCGCCGGCAGGGGATCGAACCCCGGACCATGTGCATGGTCGGCGAGAGTCTAACCACTGTGCTACCGACGCTTTAGGTTGAATATCTGCAGCGGTGTCTCAATCCTCTGGAAAGGTGCAATTTTGCATGACACCGTTCTCCAATCTTATTCTATGCCAAGCGTGTGTCCAGACAAATAATTAATTGATGATAGTCAGTAGTTTGAGTGAAATAAAGCAGCCACGTTTATTATTTTCGAAATAATGAACCACATAAGTAAACTGTATGTAGTAGATATCAGGAATAAGATTTGCTCTGATGTCAGTGAGCACACTGATCTGTGGGAAATTCCTTGCTAAGAGAAATATAATTTGTGAAATACCAATAATATGGTGGACTTGACTTTTCACAATGTCTGAGAAACCACTGTTTCAAACGAAGAAGGCTGTAGAAACACACACTTCCTTCTATTTCATTCTCATTTGTGTGTCTACATTTGATATTAAATTCACTCTTTCGAACTGTGATAAGTTCTATCGATGTAGACTGTTCGATGTTGACTTGGCTGTCTGTCTGTTAGTTAAGAGCTCTTTGTGAAGTTCTACGTTCTATAGTCCAAAATTCGTTTTACAAATAACAGTGCTGTCACTACAGCATGAAAGTAAAGTAAGATCATCTCCCATGTGACAAAGAACAGGAGTGTTGCTCCACTGCTGTTCAGTATGGAATAAACTGTATGTAAACTGGTAGACTTGTTGAGAAAGCTTTCAACAGCTTCACTGCAACTTCAGAAGGAAACAGCCGGAAATTCGATACCATACATAGTGCAAACGCTTTTGACCGGGATATTCGTGTCATTGTGAGCAGAAATATTTTGCCAGTTTGCGTTCGATTCCAAGAAACGTTTTGAAGTGAGTTGTGTTTGCGAGAAGTCTTGTGAACTAGGTTCATTAGGCGTTAACACGATTAAAGACTCAAGCAATACTTCCTGCAAAGTCTTCTACATCGAGTGAAATCACCTATGAATGTTTAGGTTAAACTTTTGTTTGTCACAAGAATATGTATGTATCATTCAGAAAACTTACCAACCAATTGGTTGTTTTACCATTCAGATCCATATCAGACTGAATATAATAATAGGCTTGATTGTCAGTGCCTTGATCAAAAGTCATTTCTCTGATTTGTGGAAACCCTAATATTGAGCGTATCGTGTATATCATTTTTTGTGCAATCAAGCTGGCTTCACCATTTTTCGATTGGCAATCAGCAGCATCAATAGATAGTAGACCACCCCATTGAGGTACAAGTGCATAGTCGGTGATTTCCACAGATGAAGATGATTCGATATGAAACCTCAAAGGTAATGTACAGTCAGCCTGATATGAGGTGGTTGCTTTTGGAATGTTCAACAACAATATAAGATGTAGTCCTGGATTAGAATGTACCATATCACGATTGGCTGCATACGATGTTTGAGGAGGCCCCAGGAATGACTCCAAGTAATTAATCAGATTTGATACATCATCTTCAGAGTAGAACGTATAGTTCCCGGTTTTTGACAGTCGACTAATAAGAGAATTAAATAACAGGGACAATAGATAATTCTAATGGAAAGTTGCCCAACAGATTCTCACTATTCTATTCTGTAGATCGTGGAGTAAAATGAAAGACTTAATAATGCATTTAAAGAGACAGTATATCCACAATGACCTTTGAAATGGACTCCTACTGATTACCTGTGGACGTCAGATAGTAGGCCGAGTAACGACTTGCAAATACATCTATAATGCGCGGTGAAGTACTCTAGGAATTTCTTATCATCACGAAGAGAGACCACCATTTCACTCTTCTTTAAAGAAAATCATCCAGATATTGGTCTGTATCAAAAATACTGACTACCATCAAGTCTTACAGAGTTTATAAAAGGGATAAAAATCGGATTCGTGAAGAGCAGACTGGGTTCTTACAGGTCGTCAATGTATACATGATCTGTCCACTCTACATCAGTTGTTAGGACACCGTCACACACAGTGCAGTAAACAGTTGTTTTGTCTCTTGATATTAGAGACGTCTGCAATTCTTTGGACGAGAGTGTTACTTAGGGGTGTTTATTGAAGAGATTGGCTTGTGGGAAGTCCACTAGCACTAAAGGCTCTCATTTCTTCTCCACACGATCACCTCCAAGTCACTCAGAGTTCCTTGTTTCTAACTCGTTCTGTCCATCTGATCTTCAGTAAGGAACCAGCCAAAGCATTTACTATCGCCAATGATTTTCCTGATTGCAGTAGACTGGATAATGCGACAGACAGCGGGCAATGAGGAAACAGGCATAAAATGGACTCACACAAAAAACTTGGAGGATCTGGACTTCGCCAATGATATGTATCTGATTTCCCACAAACTGGAGGATATGCAAGCGAAAAACAACAAGTTGGCAGGAGCTGCATCAAAGATAGGACTTCAGGTGAACATCGAGAAGACAGAGGTGATGGAGATTCCTGGGCAACACCACCAACAGCAACAACAACAGACAACAATCAGCATAAATGGGAGGAACCTGAAAGAAACAACCTCTTTTACCTACCTGGGAAGCATCGTTTCAACTACAGGCAGACGAAACTGACGAGGATATCAAAGCAAGAATCGGGAAAGCAAGACAAGCTTTCACTACTCTCAAGTCTGTGTGGAGGTCAACAACTCTCAGAATCAAAAATAAGATCCGGATTTTCAACTCCAATGTGAAGTCAGTGCTACTTACCATACCAATCAGAGACTTGGTGCATCATAAAGAGCATCTCAAACAAACTACAGACCTTCATCAACAGCTGTCTTCGCTCATTACTCAAGATCAGATGGCCAAAAAAGATCAGCAACAGAGAGGGATCTCTGGGAGCGAACCAACCAGGAACTGATTGTGAAACAAATAGGCAGAAAGAAATGGAGATGGATTGGCCATACTCTGAGGAAACCATCAAGTGACATCACTAGACAAGCCATTGCTTGAGTGGAACCCGAAAGGGAAGCGGTGAGTTGGTCGTCCAAGGGTGACTTGGAGGAGGTCATGTGAAGAGGAGATGAAAACGTGTGGGCAGACATGGAGCCAGGTGAAGACTCTAGCAGAGAACCCGAACTCAATGGAGACGCACGGCTGAAGACCTATGTTCCTGTAGGAATTAAAGGATACAATAATAATAATCAGTATCGTGAATGAACACTGCGAGTGTCTTTTATTTCACGGTTTTCTACAAACAGATTTTAATTCTCTCTGATGAATCTAAATTCAAATTGGACGATCATGCGAAATATCAAACATTATCGACCGAAAGGAAAATTGTGCGGCATCTACGACAACTCTTCCACAAGAAATACGTTGATGAAAATACATATAGAAATATCAAACCGATTGAGTCACAAATCCCAAAATTATACGGACGTGTTAAAGTACACAAACCAGGAGCGCCGTTAATACCTATACTCTCAATGATGAATTCATCATACCAAAAATTAGCTCGGTGGCTATGTCAATTATTGCAGCCCTCGAGAAAACATTTTAGAACGTTTATAATTCCTCATTCATTTCAGTTTGTCAAGCAAATTAAAGATTTCAAAGTATCTGATAAGCACCTTCTCTCTTTCGACTTCACCTCCCTCTTCCCAATGTGCCAGTCGTTGAGACTGTCGACTTTATATTTAGAGAAGCTGAAGACATACCCATTCCAACATCGGAATTGAGGAAATTGTTACTTTTATGTACTAAGAATGTCCAATTCCAATTCGACGGGCGTTTATTCTGTCAAGTTGATGGTGTCACAACGGGAAGCCCCTTGGGACCACTTTTCGCAGACTTATTCTTGTCAGGCCTAAAGCTGGTACTTTACAGCAACATATACAACAAACGGATGTATACCTAAGATATGTTCAAGACACTTTTATTGTTTGTGAAAGCAGATCAAAAACTGAAGACATGTTGATACAATTCAACTCATGCCACCCGAATCTTAATTTCATAATAGAACACGAAGAAAATGATACTACCAAATTACTAGACGTTTTTCTAGTGAAAAGGATTGATGGCACAATCGGAAGATGTATATTTAGAAAGTCTTCATGTGCAGGATGGTAAATCCATTTCAAGAGCTTTGTTCCAATCCAGTATAAAAAGAACTTAGTCAGAACACTTTTCAATAGATCACGGAAAATTTGTTCTGACTGTACAATTGGGCATGAAATAAAAGCTCTAGAGGATATTTTATCTAAGAATGGATATCCTGAGAAATTCATTAATCAATACTCTACAGAAATGACCCCCAAAAAAACTATCCAAACAGTTCTGAAGAAATCTGTTTACATAAGTTTGCCATTCAAAAGAGATGATGTACAAGAAGTAGTCAAACGAAGACTGCATAAAGCTATACAGAGAACTTATTATGCTGCAAAACTTGTTCTCCTTAACACCACCAAGCGAGTGCTTCATCAATCTGGTAAAGACCAGTCTCCAATCATCGACACTTCAAACCGTGTATATCAATTTGACTGTGTTTGTGGAAGCAAATACACAGGTCGTACAGAAAGGCGATTGTCTACTCGCACGATGAAACATTTGACAAAATGGTTGAAAACAGCTGAATGCAAAGTACCAAAGACCTCAATAACAAAACATCTTGTGGACTATGGACATGATATCGACGCTGTCAAGTCATTCACTGTTGTCAGCAGACAGAAAAAGGAAAGGAAGTTGCTTGCAATTGCAGAGGCTTGTGCAATTCGAGTTTATAAACCAGGTCTCTGTATACAAAAAGAAATGGTCATCATTCTGAATCTACCATGGTAATACGTTTCATTTATTATTCTACCTCTTATTATTACTATTATTCTTGATTCATTCAAAACTATCTTTTGTCAGTAGCATTACTTTAACTCACTTCAACATTATTATTATTATTATAACTATTACTATTGATATTACTCTGTAATGCCTTTTATCTTAATTTTAATCTCTCATACTCCCTCTCACCTTATCTATTTGAACATGACCTGGAAAACATTAGCACCTGTCTGTCTGCATCACTAATTCAATGTAGTTTATTTGCTTATCATATCCGCGTATGTAGACTATTCAGCTGACGAGTTCTACCGAAATTTGATGAACTCATGAAATCCTGCTTTATTAACCTTTGTTGCTGGTTTTAAATTCGTATCGAAAAATAATTGTTTTCCATTTTTACTGATAATTTACATTGCATTAAAGATGACAGATGAAAGTTATTAGAGATTTTTCCATGAAAAATTTCTTTTGGAGAACGCTTTCACAGATATCGGCATATTTGAAAAAAAGCCCCCTTTTATTCGGAAAGGAAAACGGAACGTTGATGCATTTGCTCTCAGGAAACTGTTACTTGACAGCACTCAACAGCAGAACCACTTCAGAACACAGCATTATTTGCAATTATCTGGGTAATGAATAAAGGTTGACGCATAATTCTTAGAGAAAAGTTAAAATGCGTAACTATGATTAGATAAAATTATGGCTCACTGGGCCTGGTATATTGCTCAACTTACTCGTAACACAGTGCTTAACGGAAGTTAGTGTCTGTCACTTTGAATAAAAAGGTGAGTTATCTGGAAAATCAACCTCACCATCAGTTCTTTTACGATCATTGTCGAAAAGTGCAATGAAATTAAATAGCTCCTGACACACTGTACTAGTTATCAAGTTACCAGGTCACTTAAATTGTAATCTAGCTACTAATACAACTAACATTCTTAGATAAATGGTTTTTAATAAAAATTGTACACCATCTCCATTATCAGCATGTTGCTTTACTCCTATAAAATGAACTGGCGATTCAGTTAAACTATGTTTAAAATATTTTACATTTAATACTTATACAGTTTATAATTCAGATTGTGCGCAGCTGATGAAAATCCGTTGGAAATAAAATGAATTCGTATTATCGTACAAAAAATGCTCTCATCCCATTGTTTAGATTTGTCACGGGAACTAACTGGATGAAAAATTGCTTTATTCAATCAGTTCAGCAAATCAGTGTCTGGAGTGAGTTCTTCAATTTTGTCAAGAGAAACTCAGTGCAAGAAATAAAGTATTCTAGTCAGCTTTAAAGTAGTTTTGGATCTATGGTTGCTGGCTACCAATTAAAAGTATCCTGCTTAAACACAGGACTGTGAAACATTTACTCACAATCAAATACAATACTATATACTGAATTTTAAATTTCATTTATCATTAGTATCGTGAATGAACACTGCGAGTGTCTTTTATTTCACTGCTGTCTACAAACAGATTTTAATTGTCCACCTTTTCTACGTGAATGAATTACAGGCATTTGGCAAGCAAACTTGTTTTAATTTTACAAAAGCTTTATTCAAAATATATAACATTTATATTTGTAATGGATTGGAACATACAGGTCAAGGTCAAGTGAAGGTATACAACAGTGTATATAAGAATTTTGTTAATATAAGTGAAATGTACTAACGTTTGCATAGTTCTGTGAATTGGATACAATTTTAAATATTGTTGGAAAACTAGATCTGAAACTGAAGGC